TATTGTTTTCATTCACAAAATACTTGACAATGTGGTATTTCAGAGTTATCAAATAGTATTTAATGTTACTTCAATTTTCTAAGTGTTTAAAGGTTATGGTGGTTTCAGTATTATATAGTGAATCACCTTTCATATTTGAGTTTTGTTTTATTTTCCCCACTGATCAGTTTAACTTTGAAAGTCCCATTAATGTGACATCATAGCTTATTCCTGACTGTCAGTAATCTGTTGAACTTTTTGCATATTTTATTGTAGAAATATGGAGAATTAAAGCAAGAGAATTCGAGCTTTTGTACTGTTTTTAAAATGTAGTCAGTGTTCCTAGATGTCACTTCCTTTTTCCTCCGTAGAACCTGGGAATAATTCAGAACTCCAGGCCGCATTTCCTACAGGCACGAGAGGCTAAGACAGTATTAGACCTAACGGTGTTAGATGTTGTCATGTCAGTGGAAAGGGAAGGGGGAAGAGCCACGGTGCACTGTTCACTCACCCCGTGCGTGTTCTACCCGGTAATCAAGTTGTGAATAAAGAGTTAAAAACAAGAAAAGCCACTTCTGTTGTTGTTAGCTCACCACTGAATGTTGGAAGTGGAGTGGGATTTCAATTCCTGGGCTGGCATTTCCTTGTTGGACCTGTTACTACAGGAGGAAAGAGGACTCCTTGTCCCCAGCTTCCAGGATTCTGCAGCTTTCTCTTGGAGCTGATGAAGGTCAGGTAACTCTTTCTTACTAATTATCTGGTACTGAGAGTTCAAACCTTCCTCAGAGAACATAACCTTAAAAACTACAGTCAGCTTCTGTGGTGGTTGATTGATAATTCTGCGTGGAGACTGCTATGCTGTGTGGTTCCCTGTAGTGGGCCTGTGACCATCTCCCGGAGTCATCAGTCTGTGCCCCATGTCCACATAGGAGTGACTTTCATTAGGACTGATGGAGGAAGTGATTTTATTTATATGAATGTATTGATCAGTTTTGTAGATTATATTAAGGTTTGTGATGTTAAGAGATCAAAATTTTTTTAGGGAGAACTTTTTTTTTTTTTTTTTTTTTGGTTTTTCGAGACAGGGTTTCTCTGTGTAGCTTTGCACCTTTCCTGGAACTCGCTTTGGAGACCAGGCTGGCCTCTAACTCACAGAGATCCGCCTGGCTCTGCCTCCCAAGTGCTGGGATTAAAGGCGTGCGCCACCACCGCCCAGCCGGGAGAACTTTTAAAATAAAATAATGTGTTCTGCAATCTAAGTTTCAGAAAAGCCAGACCCAGAGTTGAGATGATTGTTCCTTCCAAACTAAAGATTTTTTTCCCCTCAAGATCTGTAAAATGATTATGAAAAATGATTGAACCTATTACACTTATTTTTATTTATTTATTTATTATGTATACAGTGTTTTACCCTCACGTATATCTGTATGCCAGAAGAGGGCACCAGATCTCATTAAAGATGGTTGTGAGCCACCATGTGGTTGCTGGGAATTGAACTCAGGACCCCTGGAAGAGCAGTCAGTGCTCTTAACTTCTGATCTTAACCTCTGAGCCATTTCTCCAGGGCCCCTACACTTATTTTGACTGCATGTTTCATAACCTTAAGCTTTTTGCCTGGTAAATATTAGTTGTAGTATTAGAACCACCACCTCTGGGTTGGTGAGCTGGCTCCACGGGTAATAAAGATGCTGGCCATTGAGCCTGATGACCTTATTTGATCCCTGGGACCCACATGCTGAAGGGAGAGAACTGATTCCAGCGAGTTGTTTATTGACCCTCCCATTGTACCATGGCACACACATTCCCTCTCACGCCCTCAATAAATAGATGAATGTTTATCAACTTAAAAAGACCACAGCCTCTGCCTGTTAGCTAAACCAACAGTTCCTAAACCCTTGGCCATAGCAAAGCTTAATGCTGGAGCCTGTCATTTGGCCGGGTCTGTCTAGGCTGTAGCAACCCTACCGTTCATGCTTCTGTCCACACCTGCTTTTCTGTCCACTCTGCTTCTCTTCCGGCACCGAGCCTGGGACTCCTGGCTCCTGGTAAGTTTGTGTGTGATTATGCTGCCGTAACCCCCCAAGTCTCAGAAGACCCCCAAGTATATGAAGACCACTATGTGTTCTTTAAGCTCACATTGCTTGCCGGTGGTTGCCTAGTACCCTGCACCAAGTGTCTCCTCCTACCAGGGCACAGATTCACGGGCAGTGTCCATCTAGAACACACCATTCTTACAGAGAGAAGGGAAAAAACACTGGTGGAAACTGTAAGCTGGGGCTCAGTAAAGAAACCACCATCAAGGCAGCTCCAGGGTTAGGAGGAAGGTTTTTATCATGGAAAAGAGAGAATACCAAGAGCCATCTGGGGGAGACTGCCATGGCTGCCTCTCGGGGAAGAGGCAGGAAGAGGAGCAGACTGGGTTTCTGTTTGCCAGGAAAAGCCATTACTTTTTTTAAAAATCAGCTTTCACAGTCCTCCAGCCTCCAGAGAGGGCCTCTAGTTCTCTGTGACCTCAAGCAAGCCCCCCGACAGATCAGAGCCCCACGCTAGTTCCCAGGCTGTCCCACCACCCTGCCCTCCTCCCTCCGCAACATAACCATCATAACCTGCAGGCCGCTGCCACCAGTTTGGCTGTCTTCTCTGCTCCTGTACCCCTGGCAGCTGCCGTCTCCCCCAGATGGCTTTTGGTATTCTCTCTTATCCACGATAAAAACCTTCCTCCTAACCATGGAGCTGCCTCCATGGTGGTTTCTTTACTGGTCCCCTCGCTTATACTCGTGACTGCTGCCCTTTATCATTTATTGGTTCTGATGAACAGAGCAAGCACATTTTTTATTTCAGTTATTTATTTCTGTGCTTATTGTGTTTTATATTCTAACATTTAAAGTTTGTTTGCTTGAGGCAGGGTCTCTCTATTTAACCCTGGCCGGCCTGGACCTTCCTCTGTAGACCAGCCTGGCTTCGAACTCACAGAGATTCACCTGCCTCTGCCTCCTTAGTGCTGGGATTAAAGGTGTGCACCACTACAGCCAGCTTACAATGTTTTAATATTTACTATTCCATCTTTCTGCTGATACCCTGTTTTCTCATTAGAACCATAGTTTCTTGTAACTCTCAACAACATTTACAGCTATTCTAAGGCCTCCAAAGTGCACCTTGTGGGCTGAGAGGAATTGGTTGCTACTGACTACTGTTTTTCTCGACTCTTACATTTCCTTGCTTCCTTCCATGTGGTAATTTATGAATGGGAGCTAGGCTTGAACAGTGGGAGTGATGTCATAAACAGGCAACTACCCTGGATTGTTTTCTTCCTCTGAGTAGTGCTGAGTTTCAAGTTCTAGGCAGTAGCTTAGTCATTCACTGAACTTGGGTTGTTTGTTGGCTTGTTTTGCTTTTTTGTTTTTTGTAGAGGAGAGTTTTGAGGATTACTTAAGCCAGTCAGTGAGAGCCTAAGAGACTTCCCATGCTCCTAATTGTCGGCTCAGTTTTCCAGCTCTGTCTCGCTTGTAGCGCTTATCAGCAGTTCGTTTTAAGCTCGTGTAGACTAAGTCTGTAGTGGGTCTTAGCCCAGAGTGTGGTTTTTACTTCTGAAGCATGGTATCTCGGTGTTAGCAATGTTTTAATGAGGTTTCTCCATTCATGTGGTCGGAACTTGATAATCCTTAGCAATGCGTAACCTCTGTATTTCTCTTCTGCTCTCACCTCTGCAGCAGGCACTTCAGTTAAGTCTTCTATTGTTTCCCCTCAACCCCAACCCTGAGTAGTAAAGCCCTCAGCTGAAGACTCAGGAGGGACCTTAGTGAACTTTTGAACCCCTCCTCCATCTCTGCAGATTCTAATCTCCTTGCTTGCCCCGATCTACATGTCTGCAATTGCATCCTCTCCACGTGGACTCCAGCCTGCTGCCCCGAACTGTGATGATCATGGGACAGCTTGTGAGCCCGCCCTTCCACCCAGGATTGCTGCCTTGGACTTCCTGCAAACAGATGCCCCGTGTGTTTTGCCTGATTTCCCAGTTGCTTATGGAGCTCACCTTAGTGAGTGACCAGCAAGTCCATCAGAGTTGGGCGAGGAAACTTCTCCCATGTGTTCTAACCAAGTGACAACGATACCGTAGCATAGTTTTCAATTCTGTTAGAAAAATCCTCCCTGGAGAAAGTGGTAGGCCAGAATTGGGGGTGCAGTTTTCACTGTGTACTGTCTATTACTAATACTGAGAAAATTTGCTAGGCAGCCGATTTGCCTTGAGTTTATGATTCTTTGCGCCCAATTTCTTGAGTGCTAAGATTACAAGTGTGAACTCCTGTGTCTGGCTCATGATGTCTTTAATGAAAAAGAAGAAAACAATCAAAGGCTACATTCCTATGCTTTCTATACTCAATTTGTAATACTCAAGTCTAAATTCAGCAATCCAGTGGCTGAGATTTATTTAGATGCCAGGTTCTGTTCATGTTGAGCATTTAATCTTCAGAATCCTTACAAATAGCATCACATGTACATGTACACACACCAAACTCCACAGTGCTCCTGTGCATCTTGTGAAAATCTTTGCAGATGGATATTCAGCTCTGAAACTTTCTAGGCTACGGTATGCCATGCTGCCCAATCTACATGTATCTGTAATTCATCTAACACTACCTAATATTGGTTATTAGATGAAGCTGTGTTAAGAATAAGTACTTACATTGCATACATTTGTATGCATTTAAAAACTTGCTTCTGGGCGCTGGAGAGATGGCTCAGTGGTTAAGAGCACGGGCAGCTCTTCCAGAGGTCCTGAGTTCAATTCCCAGCAACCACATGGTGGCTCACAACCATCTGTAATGAGATCTGGCGCCCTCTTCTGGCCTGCAGGCAGAACAGTGTGTACACAATAATGCTTCTGTTATGTTTAGGTGTCCTCCACCCATGGAGTGATTTTCTGCTATTTCAGTAGAACCCCAAGCCAGCAAAACCCCAAACCATGTATTTTCCAAACAGACATTAGGACAGAAAATGAGTTTAGTCCAAGGAAAAGAATAGTAGGTGCACACAGTTTAATAGCTTTAATGTGTTTACTTTTTCTCTTTTAGCCGTTCACTTTGTATACAACATAGAATTAGTGATTGCATGAAGACAGCAATCTCTACAATGCCAGCTGTGCCTAGCACACCAAAGGGACCAATGACACGCCATGCATCTTGAGTGACGACATTGCCACCTGCTCTGAGCTCCACCCAACCCCCTGCAGCCTCGTTTCTCACGTCTCAGAGACAAGTGTAAACCCTAGAAATGAAGAGGTCTAAGTAGCTCCAGGCGCACCAAGGTTTCAGCAAGGTTTTGATGTACAGATGGATTTTAGGGACTAACTTCAGAAAGCCTAGTTGATCCAGCTCTCATACTGACCCGTGAGTTCATCATTAAACATAATGTCAAGAGTTTTTAAACATGGCTGTTACATTATGGATCTTGGTACCTTCTGATAAACAACCCCTTCTGATGTTTCACGTAGCAAGGAAATGCTGCCAATGCAAATAATTTCATGATGTCAGATGGATATAAAGAACAGCTCATACAAAGCCAGCATTTCCAGAGTCTGCACAGGACAGGCTCAGAACTGCTGAGCTGTGGTACCACTCACAGAAACTACTACTCAGTTAATACAGTGTTCCCTTCCCTCTCTCTTCCTCCTTTCTTTATTAAAAACTGGGCCCCACCTACGGTCTTAATCTTAGGAGAAATTGGTGCAGTTTCTTCTGCAGGTGCTCATGATTAAAAACAAAACCATCCAAAGCTGACTTCATACTACAGTGAGATGCTGTTTCTTATCAGTCTGCTCTGCATAGGGAAAGTACTGTAACTCAGCGGCTCAGATAGCTTAGGGAAAGGATGGGGCTGGCATACGTTCAAAGTGATTACTTCTTTGGTTAAAAAAAGTCTGATTTTTTTTTGTCTCCCCCATACAGATTTTGCTATTCTTGTTCAAGATACTAAACTTAAAATCATGTTTAGAACTTGGAATGTGTAATGCTAAGAGACCATTTATGTTGTTATTGTTTAAAAATCTGGCATTTAGTGTTTGTTTGCATTTGAAGTTAAGAAGTAATTGTACTCCTGAAATATGCTAGCTTTCCAAATCACAAATTCGCAATCTATGTAGTCAGGAAGACTGATGATAAACACTCTCAGTTCTCTTTTGGGGCATGAGGTCATTACAGTTTATAGTCTCTTGGGGACCAAAATAGAAAAAGCACATGGCACAGTGTTCTCATTCTCTCTGCAGGACAGGCAGCCTGGCTTCTACCATACCACTCCTGAGGCCACCTACCACTGTCCCTCACGGGTCCGAGGACTAGTCAGCCATGTTCTCTTACCTTCTGTGGTAAGGCAGTTCAGATGCTAAGTGTGATGTCATGCGTTATCACAGAGTATTTCTATTCTAGACAACCCATAGTCTAAATGGTGTTCATATAGAAACAGAGGTAGGACACTAGTCAAGGAACCTGGGGAGGGACGGCGCTCAACACAACCAGACAGTAAACACGTAGAAGTCAGTTCTCAGAAATGTGGATTATCAGACTTGAACCAAACGCAGGTTCTGTTGTCCTCCATGGGATAGTCTTGCCCCTCCTCCTGGTCCCTGTATGCTCCACATCCTAACTTTCCCCTCCGCCCTTAGGGGGACATAGGCAAGAAAGTCCCAATCTCTATCATAAAGCCACAGTTTTAAAATAATGTGGTAAGAGTTAAGCATTTAGGAGCTCTGAAACAGTTATGGCATTTTTTCAACTTTCTGAATGTGTGTCTTAAGATAAAAGGATCCAGATGAAAAACACAGAGACTGGGAGCCCGTAGGAGAGTATTGTATTCTTTCTGTTTTGTTTTCTTTTTTTCTATACAGGGTTTCTCTGTGTAGACCTGGTTGCCCTGGAACTCACTCTGTAGACCAGGCTGACCTCGAACTTACAGAGATCTGCCTGCCTCTGCCGCCCAAGTACTGGGATCAAAGGTGTGTGCCACCACTGCCCGAGTATTATGTTCTTGCTTAATGTCCCAGGGTTTAGGTTCTCCCACGTGATAGAATTCTTTGCATTGTTCTAATCAGTCCCTATTTCTCCTTACATAGGTTGAGGCACATTTAAAATTTACATGGGATATCATCTTCCCAATTTAAAGATGTCTAATGCATGGTTTCTATTGGGCTAATTTTTTTTTTTTTTTGGTTTTTTGAGACAGGGTTTCTCTGTGTAGCTTTGCGCCTTTCCTGGGACTCACTTGGTAGTCCAGGCTGGCCTTGAACTCGCAGAGATCCGCCTGGCTCTGCCTCCCAAGTGCTGGGATTAAAGGCGTGTGCCACCACTGCCCGGCCCTATTGGGCTAATTAAAAATTATGAGAACAGTGTAACTTTGTATTACATGAAGAATGCCAAATTGTGCCCCCCCCCCATTTATTTCTGTGAAACTAGGTGTTATGGACCAGGTAGTCACTGTTTTCCCTGGTGACAACTGGCATCTGGAGATTACCAACATGTTCAAACTATTTCATCTGTTAGGATTTTTAAAAGTATAAAAAGGGACATTACTTTGAAAATGTGAATCTAAGAAAAACCACATCCAGGGTTTGGATAGGAATAGAACAAGATGGTGACGTGCTTAGGGTAGCCCTGAGTGAGACCACATCTACCAAATTCCACTGGGACACAAGGGAGTTGGGACTCTGTTTACACTTTTCACTGTTGGAAAACCAGGCTTCATTTCTAAAGTATCAGCTGATGTCTTCAAGAACAGCACCTCCTGCCTCCGCCATGCTTCGTACAGGAGCCAAGTCACTACCCCAAACCGCAGGTGCACAGGCATCTCGAACCCACAGCTGAGATGAGTCGCTTTCAGTTTCTCTGAACTCACCCCCTCCCCCCCCCCACCGCTCCACTCCTGGACCATGGCTTCTCCCTTTGCTTCTCCATGAACACACTTTAAATTATGAAAGAGCTCATTAAATTGCCCTAAGGATGCATGCTCTCCCATTTAACATCTGGATTGTCTGTAGAGTGTTGAGAGAATGTGTGGCTGATATAGTTCCTCACGGGCTGAGACACCTAGAGGATCGGGTAGGTTTGCCTGCTCCTCCTGCAACATGCCTATGATGGTTTGTCAAAATGAATAGCACATATTCTTCTCAATGATTGTAACTCAGATGGTACATACGATGTGTAGTTATTACCAAATGTATAAAATGATTGTAACACCTGGCTTACCCGTATGCAGCTTAGCAGTGGTAAACCAAAAAAAAATCATGGGCAAAGCCCAAGAATTACTAAGAATCTGCAAAAGCTTACGTATTAGGGAGCATTTAGAAACGTACCTATAGGCACCACCTTACCAGCTGACCCTTGCCCTTTACGGTCTGCACCCTAGCCAAAGGGATGCAGTTTTCAGTTTTAGTTTTTACTATTTTATATTATGTAGGTGGCATATCCCTAAAAACGTTGGATACAATTTTAAATTAGTGACTTTGCCCCAGATTTACTGTGCTCTGTTTCACCCATTGTTTTGGGATCACCTGTCACAGCTTCCCAAGCATATTGACCCGGCTGAGGATAATGGCTAGGGAAATATGGCCAAGCCTTATACGTTGTCAGACTTAATGGCGTGTGTGTGTGTAATGTGAAAAATAGGGTATGAATTTCAGGATGTATAAGCTCTACATTTGCAAATTATTCCACAGAATCTGGAGTGAACAGAGGAACGATAGTAATATGTGTTAATATTAACAGTTGACATTTCTATTATACATTTTTAAAAATAGTTAAAATATCAAAAGTGATTAAAATCAGGTATGTATTTTTTCCTGTTATATTCCCCCCCCCCCTTTTTTTAACTGTCAATGATGAGACAAGAATATTTGGGTTTAATCTGGAAATCAAAGACAGCTGCAGAGAAACAACGGAAGGTTGTGGTATCGTGGCTGAGAACCACCCTGCATGGCAAAGCCCTTGCTCCCACTCCCAGGCGGGAGACCGTAGCTCTAGCGTAAGTATAGTGAAGTGTGAGGGCTTCCTCTGTCAAAGGAGACTCTTGGGGGGCGTATTAAACCATAGTGTTCCAGCCCTGCTTCTAGCCAGCCTTGCAGGTGAAAGGCTCAGGGCTTCAGACTTCCGAACTGTACCGTCACCAATTCCAAAGTGGAATTAGGAGTCCATTGAAATGTCACGAGGGGTTACTCAGAATTCTCTGTGTTCAAGTTACTCTGGAAAACAAGAAGCTCGCAGACACGGTATTGGGACTCTATATGCATTTTCTCCCCTCCTGTATGACATTTAGTCATGAGTTTATTCTGGACTACAAACTATGGTTCCCCGACTCCTGTGACAGTGAAACCATGTATTTAGAAAAACGTCTTTAGAATGTGTTTTCTCTTGTGTTGAGGGCCATTAGATTCCTCTGTTCCTGCAAGGTGCATCCAACTAGCCCAAAGGCCTACATACAAAGGATTTAGCCAGAGGCAGCTCTCAGTTCACAGCCCACCACGGGGCTTCTGACTGGTGTCTTTGCCAGAACTAAATCAGGAGTGCTGCTGTGACAGACGAAGGCATTCTGGGAGACTGCTCTAGGAAGATCTGTGTAATGATGGTGGGAAAACGGTTTCTGAAATCAAGAAGAGGAGGAGGAGAAAAAACAGACATACAGGAAAACCAAATATACCTGGTAAAGAGGTCACTCCTTTGGTGAACCTTCCTGCATTTCCAGATACCCCAGTCAACGGCAGAACCAGTCCCCTGGGGCCACTTCAGAGAGGGTCAAAACGGCAACACGAGCACTCTCGTGTGAGCTAGCACTCTCATGTGAGCATTTGCACTTGTGCGAAATATCCGCATCACTACACTTGCGTGACACAAAGCGTGCTTGAGTTTTCTAGCCTGGGGAAGCTCTATACTGGAACCTTCTCTTGGTAATGTCCCTCCGGTCCACAGCAAGGAACAGGGAACACTGGCCACGGGGAATGAGTACATGGAGTCACGTGGTACAGCAGTGATCTAGATTGGCTGGGGCAAGTTGGTCACACTAAAAAAAATACATGTCTTGGGAACAAGCTTTGGATTGTTCTAGGTTAGTATAGTTTATTTTTATGATTAACTGCAAATGCAGTGAATTCTTAAAAAACCCTTCCCTGCCCTCCCACCCCTACCCCACTGAAGAGTACAAAGTGCTGGGGGAGGAGCCGAGCAAGGGAGGAGCCGAGCAGGGGCTGATGGGGGCTGGGATTGGCATCAGCTGTACTTCTAAAACACTGTAAAACCCTCCCCAGATTTGGCACTGTGGGGACTATTGGCAATTGGAACTCAGGCTAGGTAGGGAGTCTGGACAGCCTTGGGGACGGTCCCAAAGCCTTGGCAGTGCTGTTTACGGAAGCTTCACGTGGACTCCCTCCAGTCCAGTTCTCTGGAAGCTGGACTCGCCCTTCCAGAGCCGCCAGAGGAGGCGGGTGGCTGGTGTGCCCAGCCACATCCAAGGCAGACTCCCTACAGCCGGACACAGGTGAGGACAGGAGCATTCCAGGAGGACATGGGGAAGGGGATGGTACTCTGGTTTAATGTGTGACTACTCATCAAACTGCTACTATTTTGTCTAGAATTTCTATCTTTAAAGATAGTCTACAAGCCATGGGGGAGGGGGAAGAGGCAAGAAAGGAGTATGATATATATGTATATGTACATATACATATATATATATTCTATTTGGTTACAGTTAGAAATAAGTTACTTCTCCAAAGCAAAATTTACAAGGTGTCCATAAACCTCAGTTAGAAGATTTTGTGACTAGCGCAGGCAGTTAAGAAACCCCACTTGCTCAAGGAATAACCAAAGGGCTAATTTGGTGTCTTTCCTTTTTTTCTTCACCAAAACATCATTTCATTATTTGTTCTTTATAATAAAAATGTTTCTCAAATTATTATTTTTTCCTCTTGTTTATACACTTTTGCATTAAGCAAATACAAAAAAGAGAAGTTGACTATATGGACTGTCAAATCTGGACCCTTAGAAGAAGGGTTGTGGGAACTCTAAGAACATCCTAAATCCACAAGTGTATCTCCATCACTGATTGAACCCACATCTGTCTCCTCTGTTCCCCTCCCACTTGACCCATAATACAGACCCATGTGTCCATGTCTCTCCACAGGCCAGTGCTTCTGTCTAACACAACAGAATGTGTTCTGTACTAAACCATTCTGAAAAGCAGTAACTAAGACCCTAATTCCATGTCGAAAACACAGGGTACGAAAGTAAGCAAATTTCCTGGGAAACCATTATTCTCGACGCAGTCAAAGAAAAGCAAGTTCCTGGAGGAGTCGAAGACAGTTTGCAGTCCTCAGAGTCCAAGATAATCTTTTGTTCTCCACACTGGGCTTTGGGCAAGCTCTGCAGCTGAAGGACAGAGGGCTGGACAAGGCGGGGGGGGGGGGGGGGGGGGGGGGGGAGGGCTAAGAAGCGGGCCTTGAGAGGCCATGCTGACAAACACCCACTCTGAGAAAGAACGAAAGAAGGCAGGCTCTGGGTGTGGGTCTGCAATGAAAATCTTGATTGTTTGGGGCTGGTTCAATCAGTCAAAAAGGACAACCTAGTATGTTCTGTAAATTAACTTATAAAGTACAGAGACTGGAAAAACCCCACGGCTTTGGTGTTAGGAAGGGGAGAGCAGCAATCCAGGCCCCCAAGTAACTGTGCTGCTTATCTCTCAGGGTTCTTGCTTGAATTCCCAGGCAGCTCTGCGGCCAGTGCACACAGGTTCCCCCAGGAGTCAGTCTACTATTTCCCTCCAGGTTACAGCAGGCAGTTTGTGTTTGCCTGGGGAATGCTACCGGGTATGGACAGAGATTTGCAACCAAAGATGAAAGACCTTTCTCTTGGCCAGGAAGCATGTCTCGGTGGTTTGTCACCAATTTGTGGTGGCTGGGAACAGCACTCTTGGGTGATCCTAGGCTGCTGTTTCTCCCAACACTGTTTGAAAGACGTGAAAGCTGCTAAGATGGGCTGGGGAAGGCTGTGTAGAAGGCAGTAGCTGGTGAGCATGAGGTGGTGGTGACCTCCCTCACTGAGACAGACAGCGAGTCTCATCCCAGCCTCATTCCTCCTTGGAGATGGAAAGTTGTCCTGTACTGTGCTGTGCTTCCCACCCGCTTCATCCCCTTTCTGAGGGTTGTTGGTGAGACAAAAACTCATGGTGAAGTCAGCGGCTACCCTTGATGCATTTCATTGTAAGGTGTAAGCAAATGGTAAAGTTGTGCTCCATGAGGAGAGGCATAGGGCTGGATAACTGCATCCTGAATCTGCTACACTAAGGAAGGGGAAGGGGTGCTGTCTGGTGTGCAGGAAGCTGCCACCAACTCTCTGTCTTCTCTGCATCCCTCAGTCTCCAAGAGCAGGCAACAAATAAAGTGTTGCAAGTCTCCTTTGCAGGCTGCTGGAGTACCGAAGGTGCACGCTCAGAAGCTGCTGGACCGAGGGCACCACCAGCACATCATCAGATGATGCTGGCATGTTGCCTGCAGTTACAGGCCTGCCCTGCCCCAGGTTCTCGAGAGGACACCAAGGAGGCTGTCTGAAGGACCACAGAAGAGATCATGAAAAGAACAGGAAGGAGAATACATGGCCTGTCTTCCTTTTGCCTCATATGTGGGATTGATAGCTACCTATGGATGCATTTCAAACACTGACTAAGGGCTGGGGAACACAAACTCTTTCCAGCCCCTCAACAGTGTCAGCCAGGGAACCCTCTGCTCATCACTTGATAGGGATTCGAGGTCACCAGGGAAGGGGTTCTGTGTTGGGGCACATGATCCTAATTATAATTCCCACACCTTTTATTACATTAAGAGAACAGTATGTTGAGAGTCCTCTAGTCTGGGGCAGCTGAGACCCTGCAGGACTCACTGCTCTTCTGTTTTGCTACTATTCCTGAACTTCACCACCATGACTGTAATATTGTCAGGGCAGCCTCTGTAGAAGGACTGCAGGACGATGCTCTTGGCCCCGAAGTGAGGTTCATCCAAGCGCTCCTTGATGAATCGCACTGCTTCTTCATTGCTAAAAGCATCCCACAGACCGTCTGATGCCAAGATCATGAACTCGGGCTGCAGCTTGTCCAGGTCAAACGTCAGGATATCTGGGTCTGGGATGACCACATTGAGATTTTTCAGTGGGTAATCTCCCAGGGATCGAGACATGGCTAGGATGCCCTGGACCCTCCAGGAGCCATTGAAACTGATGAATCCACCTGGAAAGACAGCGAGGGAGCCTGTTAGCTTGTGCGGCTGATATCTCTCACACTTGGTACAGTCCAGGTGTGTGCACCATAAGCTGGTCCGCTACATGTGAGCGGGCCACAGGTGGTACCCCCCTACACGTTTTCACTGCCAAAGCCAACAGCATCTTGCTGCAGGGCCTGGGATGGAACTTCATGCTCTCATCCTGGGCACTGCTACTGCTGGCAGGAACGTTTAGGGTAGAGTATGGGTGAAGACAGAGCATCAGTTTTAACGACACAGTGTGGCAGCTCGGCGACTGACAGCATGGGGACTTGAGGGTGGCGAAGAAGTAAGCGGACAGGCAGGGAGACATCCCTGAAGCAGCCACTTAGTGAGATCACTCGGGTGTACTGATGTGGGTCCCATCAGAACAGGGATTAAGGAAAAACCCATTTGAGGCATATTTAGTGATCCTGAATGAGAGATCCTCCCTTCTTGCTGCTTTATCTTCCTAGCTGCTACATGTGTATAATGTCCATCTCATTGTCTAGTGAGAAGTTATTCCACACACATCTGGAAGCATGCTGCCCGACGGAATTCACTCAGTGTTTCCCAGTCTCCCGCACCCTTGCTTTTTTTCTTTGAGAGGGGACTAAAGTCTCTTAAGAGTCCACAGCAGCCTTGAACTCACTATATGGCTGAGGCTGGCCTGAATTTCTGATTCCTCTGTCTCTACCGCCTAAGCACTAGGATTAAAGATTTTCACCACCATCCCTGGCTTCCCTGATGCTTTCTTTAAAGGAGCTAGAACCTTGTTCATTCACGTATCTGTCAGGTAGTTATTACATGTCTATGCTGTAGAAGGGGATTTTTTTTTCAGGATATGCAAATTATATAAGACCTAGACCTTTTTTGTCCCTGACACCCTGGAAGAGACAGAAGCCACGTTTGTTAAAAGTCACCAGGACCACGTAGTACTCTCCCGGGAGAGGTTGGTGTCTGTTAACCACTGAAGTAAGGGAGGATGGGGGAGCGACTGTGGGGTTGACCACCACAGAGGAGTGAGCTGTAAGGGGATGGTCGGCAGAACACCGGACAGTTCCAGCAAGTGTGGTGTAGTGGGCAAGCACACTCCGGTGACGCTCTGGAGCCAGTCATGGTTTTAACTCTGGCCTCGTCACTCACTAGCTGTATGTCTGTGGACACAAGCCTCTCTGCGGTTCCAGTTTACTGTCTATGAAGTGATTATAACATTATCATCTTCACAGAATGTATAAAAATGCACGTAGTGTACCAGGCGCGGCTCTTAGCACAGGGAGCACAATGGACAGCAGCCGAGACGCTGTTAGTGTACTGCAGAGACGGAAAGGTCAGCATACATAATATCCAGCTTCCTGTCATGCTAAGCAGGAGCAAGAGAGATGTCCTGAAGTCTAGGGTCCTAATAAACCTCATCACCATCCCTTAAGCCCTCCTAGGGTGACCGAAACGGAGATTCACAGCTGGGCCAGGCACACGGATTATGAGACTGCCGAGTGTCCCGCCCTAAATGGAACATCTATATCATGTCCCCTCTGCCCGGGGTTCAGAGTTCATTGAGGCAGAGGGGGCAGAAGGAGTATAGGAGCCAGAGGTGGTGGATGACTAGCCGGGAACTGGTTTTTTGTTTCTGGTTGATTTTCTTTTGCACACAGCAGGACAGCTGCACATATGAACTCATGACAGTTGTGACAATGTGCACAGTGCCCGTGGAAGCTCAAGTCAGACAAAATTCAAGTCTGGAGGTGAGACGTGGCCATGATGTCTCACCCCTACCTGAGAAGCTATTGGCAACTGATAGCTGCTAGGAGGAAGTGAGTCAATTTCTGTAAGGGTGTGGCCCTTGGTAGTTAGACTGTGGTCCCAATGGATGACCTCACATCTAAGAGAATATGAGCAGCAGAAACTGGACTTGATGGGCATGGGGGGAGGGGAGCACAAGGTTGGGTAGGTAAGGTGATGGTTAATCTTGGCTGTCAACCTAACTATATCTGAGATATATACCCCAAACAGCTGGGCATGTGTGTGAGGGATTTTCTTGACTGGATTGTTTGAGGTGGGTAGACTCACCCTAAATCTAGGCCACACCTTCTGGTGACAGCCTTCACATATAAAAGGACATGGAAGAAGGAAGATTTTGCTTTTTGCCTACTTGCCTTCACTCTTGCTGGCAAGCTTATCTCTCCTGCTGCGGAGGCACTTCTTTGCTGGTATTAGAACCTATTTCTTTGGAAGACAATATAGACTGAAGACCACCTGGGACATCTAGCCTTGTAGACTGTACAGCTGATGGATTCTTGGCCTTTTCATTGGGAGATAGCCACTGTTGGACTAGCTGGACCACAGCTTTTAAGCCAGTCAAATAAATCATGTATGTATGTATATATGTATATATGCATATTCCCAATCAGTTCTGTTCCTCTAGAGAACTCTAACATATGCAGGATATCTGGGAGAGGTTGGGGGAGGAGATGAATATGATCAAAATATGCTGCATGAAATTCTCAAAGAATAAAAATATTTTAAAAAACACACCTTTGCCTAATTTTTGTAAATGAACAGAGTAAGTCAATTAATCTTAGAGATGGTGTGCACATTTGCTCGCAGAAAGAAGTGTGGTAGAGTGGGAGTGTGTGTGTCAGGTGTGAAGGAGGGGACAGAGGATAAGGTGATAGTGAAATTTCAAGAACACACGCTGGATACTAAGGTGGAGGTTCCGGGTGTATGTGTGTCCTGCCAGATTTAGCTATTGGGATTTTCAGTTTGGACTTAGTGTGGACTCTCAGGAGGAGATGAGGCCTACATAAATGAATGTCAGAGTGTTTCACTCATCTTGCCTGGAGCTCTCCAAAGCTTGATGGATGCTCCGAAAACATTGCTCCATTTCATCATCAGAAAACCCGGGCAACACTCATTTGAAACTGTTCTGCATCCCAGCAGGAACTGAAGTGAGGGGCTAGAATCCAGTCCCTTTGGTCTCAGCCATACAGCTTCCTGCTGTGTGACTCTAGTGTTCATTAGGCTGTCTCATTTTCCCATTGGGCAGAAGCTAAGCTGCAGTGAGCAAGGGTCACTCTGCAGATTCGAACACACAGCAGGGGTCCAGGCTGCTCAGCACACCACTGGGCCCTGAGGTAAGACAGTGAAGGCATTCTTGCCTTCCATAGGTAGGAAACTCTCAGATCTGATCCTCCTCCTCCTCAGAGTTTTGTCTCAGTATCACCTTACTGAACTACACGTGGTAACCCATGCCTGTAATTGAAGGACTTGGGAGGCAGAGGCAGGAGAATTGGGCCAGCCTGGGTTACCTGAAACTCCATCTCAAAAATGAATGAATTATTCACCTTAGTGGTTTCACATAGACCGCCCCACTTAAAGACACCCCCATTTCCTCATCTGCTTTATGCACCAACACAGTAGTCACCACCTTATGATTTACCACAGAACTCATTCATCTTTGATTGGTGCCTATTTACTCTATCTTCACCTCAACCAATTTCAGACTGTAAATTTCGTAAGGGTTTTGTGTGTGTGTGTGTGTGTGTGTGTGTGTGTGTGTGTACGGGGAGGGGAATAGGGTTTGTTGAATAAATAGCAGGCTCTTTTCCATCTCCACTTAGGATGGCCACTGAGTTGGGTGCTGAGGTATGGAAATAACCAGGACCAAGTTCTTGCCTCCGAACAGCTCACAGACAAGAAGGCAAGACAGGCAAGAGTCAGCTGTGTGCACTCATTTCACAGGGCGCCTGAAGAGACGTACTGAGGGTGCCTTTGCCCCAGTGGGACATGGAAGGCTTCCAACAGGACACGCCACGGTTGGATTTGAAAGGACACTACTTTTCACCCACTCCAGTGGAAATGACACTTGCAGAGGCACCAATATATCACTGGAGTTCACACTGGAGTGTTGGGAGTCTGGTAATGGCTGTAAGGGAGCAGAGGTCCAGTGATCAAATTGGACTTGAAACCAAAGAGGGCTGTCTTTGGTCCTTCTGGAATCTTTGGCCATTAAGAGTGGCAAATTAAGTCATCATCAATTAATAAGAAATGTACAGTCTAGGAATACAGACTAGGTAACAGTCATGTCACAGTGACCCCATGTGCTGCTGGGTAAGTGAATTTGCTCCCTAAAAACTCTCCAAGAAAGCACCTAGATCACTAAACAAGATGGTAGACTTCCTCCAAGAGGGCTCCCCGACTCACCAGCTCTCTTTATTCTCTTCCTCTCCTTGAGTTGGTAAGGCTTGTGATCATGAGACAAGGGAATGGCGTTCCCATCTTTGTCACACAAGACTCCTCGAGAATCACCAACATTGGCCACAGTCAGGTCCTTATCTGACAGGAGGGCAATCAAACACGTTGTGCCTGCAGGACAGAAGAGAGAGGCAGCGTGGGCAGGGGCAAGGTGCTGATGTTCCCTTGTTCCTCCTGATCACCAGACTCTTCCACCATTACAGCCTCTCTTGCTAGGAAGGAGATTTACTTCAGCTACTCCGGGAATGATCACGGTTCATTTCAACAACACTGATCAAATCTGACAGTCCATTTTCCTAACCGTGTTACACTGTCACTGAAATAGGCTAGAAGAACAGTATCATTTTCCTAAACCACTTTGCTTCTGCTACCCTTCATTTTAAAACACCACATTCAGAAGGATCAGGGGAGAATCAAAATCAGTTTGCAGCCCTAGACAATTGGTACCCGTTGTCAATTCTCATAGGGGCTCAGTGTCCGAGATGTCCCAGTGACAAGTGTGACGATGTTGAGACTGGGGATGGGGGACGGCTCCTGAGATAGAGGCAGATGTCAACAACCTATCCTGTGGCACTATGACAGAACCATTGGTGTCAGGAAAGGTCAAGCCCGAACACCACAGAAAGTCCCAGAGCAGAGACTGGACTTAGAAAAGGGCAGCCAGCCCCAGGTGAGAAGGGGCGGGCTATGAAGGTAGAAGCAGAGAAATCTCCAGGGAAGCTACAGGTGGGATAGAGGTGGTCAGAGCCACCAGCTTGCCTGAAGCCCACGCAAGACACACAAAGACATGCTTTCCTCCGTTGTTCTCTTTGAAATGAAAAAGAATAACAAAGAGAACGGAGCAATCTTTTGCCTCTTCCGCCCTGCCTGCCACTGTCCATGGTCAAGTGTCTGCTGAAATGCACGGCTCACACTCATTCCGCTCGGGCCTCAGATCGTCACTCCTTTACTTTTGAAAAGCACTCCCTGGTCGCCCTTAACAGTTCTTTCTCATTAGGAAAGTCATACTCCATAATAAAAATGTAAACTGCATCTAAATAACCTTTCATAGAACTACAACACAAGAGAGGACCCCATTCTTCAACAGAAAGAACAAACACAGGTTGATGAGAACAGGTTAGCTATGATAGTTAGCATATTCAGTTATGATTGTTTGACACCCTATTCTTTTTAAACTAAAGAAAATGATTGGGTGTGACTGGAGATGGTGGGGAGTGCAAGCAGTGTGGGTGCCCACAGAGGCTCCCCAGTAAGGCCTTACACAATCAAGGTCAGAGAATTTGAGCTTGCTTTACCCAGCAGGGCTGCATAATGGAATGATTTGGCCAGGTGCGTGGTTTGGAAGGGTCTGCACTTGCCTGTACGTTGTGCTTAGATCTCGAAAGGGGGGCGTCTTTTGTCTCTTCCTTTGGTAGTGTATAAAAAGTCCATTAAAATAAATCTCGAGGTGGTGACTGGGTATTGACTCAGGGCCCTCCCAAAGCTATGCTGTGTCTTTGTCTTTCTCTGTGTCTATATCTATATTTCTATCTAATACTTCCTCATTCCTCTCTTCTCACCCCAAGAACCCTTCGACAGATCGGAGCTGGACTCCAACAAAGCAGGTGCCAGTGCCCACCACAGCTCATGTGTGCAGGTCAGAGGGTAACTTTTGAGAGTGGGTTCTCTCCTTCCACCTTGCTGATTCAAGAGTGCTCTTGTTTCTGCTGGACTACTGACCTCTAAACTTCTGGCCAACTGGCCTCTGCCTTTCACTGTGTTGTACGAGTGCCAGTGTTATAGATATGTGCCACCATATCCTGCCTTTTCTGTGGGATCTGGGGATGTGACTCCGCTCACCAGTTGTGCATGGGAGGCCATCTCCCTGGCCACTAGAATTCTAAACACTACTTAACACAAAACTGGCTTGATTAAAAATGGCAGCCCATGAAAGCTGGGTTACTTTAGGATTACAATATTAAAAAATGTTATTAAAATGAGAGGGAGGGGGAGACTGAGTGAGAATATGACTAAATATGACTAATCCTAATCTCAGATGTTACCAAAGCAAACTTTTAAAAAACTGATTGTTTTATGTGCACGGGTGTTTTGCCTGCCTATATGGTGATGATGTGCCAGGTTTGTGCCTGGTGCCTGTGGAAGCCAAAAGAGGGCACCAGATGCCCTGGAACTGGAGTTACAGACAGTTGTGAACCACCATGTGGGTGCTGGGAATCGAACCCCAGTCCTCTGAAAGAGCAGCCAGTGTGACTGCTAAGTTATCTCTCCAACCCATCAAAAAAAAAATTTTTCCCTTTTACTGGAAACAGATTTTTTTCTCATATGATATATCCGTTTATGATCTCTCCCCCTGCTCATCCCAGCTCCTCCCCACCTCCCATCCCATAGAGATCCACTCCCTCTCTGCCTCTCGTAAGAAAACAAACAGGTTTCTATGGGAAAATAACAAAATAAAATACAATAAAACAAAACTAACACATCAGAGTAGGACAGAACAAGCAGAGAGAAAAGAGCCCAAGACAAGACACAAGAAACAGACACAGACACAGAGAGCCACTCATAAATATACACACATATATCATATATACACACATATATCTATCATATATACAGTTATACAATAAGACAAATTAACAAAACAAAACTAAAAAGCCTTGACACGATATCATGAGACAAGAAACCTCCAAAGATTGGGTTAAGATTGTTTTCTGGCATCTAGCTGGGCATGCAGCCTACCCTTAAGAGTAAGTAGTTTGTTTCCCCAGTGAGACTCCCTGGGGGAAAACTCAGTTTTCATCTGCCAGGGGTTATCAACTGGAGATAACTTCTGGGTTAGGGGTGGGGTGTGTGTCCACTTCTCCTTTCGGCTCCAGGACCCCAGCAGGTGCAGTCCTGTGCAGTCCTGTGCATGCCGCCTCAGTCTCTGTGAGTCCATATGTGCATAGATCTTGATTTCGAGGGCCTTGTTTCCTTGGTGTCCTCCATCCCCTCTGGCTCTTACACTCTTTTCTCCCCCTCTTCCGCAGGCAGGGTTCCTTGAGCCCTGAGGGAAGAGATTTAATGGGGACATTCTATTCAGGGCTGAGTGTCTCAAGGCCTCTCACTCTGCATAGTGTCTGGCGGTGGATTTCTGTATTTGTTTGCATCTACTGTGGAGGAAGCTTCTATGATAATGGCTGGAAAAGGCAGAATGTCATTAGGAGTCATTTTACTGCTACAATCTTTTAGTAGAACAGAAGTATTTGGTTTTTCCCAGGCCCCTGGGCTATCTAGTCTCAGGTTCTTGGTCCCCCAAGCAGTGTTGGGTTTGGGTTCCATCTCATGGAGTGGGCCTGAGGTCACATTGATTGGTTACCACGATAAGCTTGTCTCACCGTTACATTAGCATATCTTGCAGGTGGGAAACCCTTGTAGATCAAAGGGTCTCTAGCTAGGTTGGTGTTTACCTTTCTCCTTTGGTAGTATGCAGAGTACCTTCCAGTACCAAGAACAGTAGACCCTAGAGGTAAAGGCTCTAGATAGGCATCAGCTGGATTCCTCCAAGTTCAATAAATTGTGTACCTTTTGCCTTCAACTATATATGTCTTGCCATTAGTTTGTAGAGAATAATCTATAGCCTTGGCAAGAGATTGGGTTGTTTGGGGGGGGGGGTTCCCATGAGACCCTTTTGGCCAACAACTCAATTAGATGTTGTAGCTGAAGTTTTCTCCAGTCCTGCCTGGCCCATGATCAGGACAAATGTCTCTCACCCACCAGTCCTGCAGCCGCTCAGACCCAACCGAGTAAACACACAGAGACTTATATTGCTTATAAATTGTATGGGCATGGCAGGCTTCTTGCTATCTAGTTCTTCTATCTTAAATTAACCCATTTCTATTAATCTATAAGTTGGCACATGGCTCATGGCCTTCAGGTACCTTACATCTCACTTTTCATGGCGGTGGCTGGCAGCGTCTCTCTGCCTCAGCCTTCCACTTCCCAGAATTCTCCTCTCTCCTTGTCCCACCTATACTTCCTGCCTGGCTACTGGCAAATCAGTGTTTTATTTATTAACCAATCAGAGCAACACATTTAACATACAGAACATCCCACAGCAAGATGTAACCTATTCCCCATATTAGAAACTTTATTTAGTGACAAGAGATGTCCAGCTGGTGATCTGTCTCCCCTACATTTTGATGATTTCATTTAGTGACATACCTCAACATAATAAAGGCAGTTTACAGCAAGCCCATAACCAACATCAAATTAAATGGAGAGAAATTCAAAGCAATTCCACTAAAATCAAGAACAAGACAAGGTTGTCCACTCTTTCCATACCTATTCAATATAGTACTTGAAGTCTTAGCTAGAGCCATAAGATAACCGAAGGAGACCAAAAAGATACAAATTAGAAAGGAAGAAATCAAATATCTTTATTTGTAGATTATATGATAGTATATATAAGTGACCCAAAAGTTTCACTGGAGTACTCCTACAGCTGATAAACACATTCCACAAAGTAGCTGGATACAAAATTAACTCACAAAAATCAGTAGCCTTCCTATATACAAATGACAAATGGACTGAGAAAGAAATCAGGAAAGCAACACCTTTCCCAAAAGCCTCAAATAATATAAAATATCTTGGGGTAACTCTAACCAAGCAAGTGAAAGAACTTACATGATAAAAACTTTCAAACATTGAAGAAAGAACTTAAAGAAGATATCAGAAAATAGAAAGCATGCCCATGCTCATTGATTGGTAGGATTAATGTAATAAAAATGGTCATCCTACCAAAAGCAATCTACAGATTCAATGGAATCCCCATCAAAATTTCAACACAATTCTTCATAGATCCTGAAAGGAGAATTTTCAGTTTCATATGGAAACAGACAGACAAACAGACAGACAGACAGACAGACAGACAGACAGACAGACACACACACACACACACACACACACACACACACACACACACACACACCAAAATAGCTAAATCAATTCTGAATAATAAAAGAACTGCTGGAGGTATCACCACCTCTGATCTTAAATTGTACTACAGAGCTATAGTAATAAAACAGCATGGTACTGGCACAGAAACAGACATGATAAATGGGATTGAATGGAAG